CCCATCTACCTACCATCAAGGACCTATAACACACAGTTCAGCTATAAGCCCAGACCATTACGACCACTCTGCTTACGGGCTGTATTCTGTCTCCCCTGGGCAACAAAGATCCCGGAGACCTAAGCTTCAGCATTCAACATCCATACTGAGAAAACAAGCAGAGGAAGAAGCTATTAAAAGATCAAGATCACTTTCTGAAAGCTATGAACTATCTTCAGACCTACAGGATAAGCAGGTATTTCATCTATTGTGCTGTTTATGAATATGGCAAAGGCATTTATTTATATGGAAGCAAAAAATGCATTAGACGAGCTCAGGTGTGCTGCTGAAATGACAGATTTTTATTTTCCGAGTCCAAGTTAGTTCATAACTGGCATAGTTAAATGTTATTGAAGTTCCAGTTTCCTCCACTCCGCTTTCCCTTGGCTCACTGAACTACAGTTGAAAGTAATGGTAATAAATAAGGAATTTTCTTCAAAGAACTTAATTCTCTAGGAGAAGTGATTTCATGCATTTGGCTTATCTTGTTTACAGAATAAAACAATGTAAGTTGTTTTTCAAGGAAATTAATCATTTTAAACTGTTGTTTTTTTGTTTTTGAAAGAAAAACAATTGTCACTGTGCTCTCACACTAAATTTTTAAAGGCCAAACTTGAAGTCTTGACTTAGTGTTTATTTAGTTGTGCAAAAATCCCATTAGGTTCACTAAGAAGTGACTATAACTCATAAAGACGTGAGGATGCATCCGTGAAAAGACTGTTTTCTCAGAATTATGAAACTTCAAATGCACGTTTTTAAACTCTACCTTGAGAAGAGTCTTATTTCGAAGTTGTTAGCTTCTACATTATTTTTGTGTGTGTCAGTGCTTTCACCATTTAGAGCAGGGCTGTCCAATGCACTGCCCCAGAAGGTTTAACTGCTGGCCATTGGGCCCCTGGTTAGGGCACTGCTCCTCCCTTGTACTGCTGCTACTGCCAGCTGACCAGCTGGTTGTCCAGCTCACTGTCCATGCTCCAGCTTCTGTTTCCTGCCCCTGCCACAGATAGACAGGGTGGTGCACCTCACGGGATGGACACAGTTTGTGGCCAGGGGGTTGAGGGGACATGGGGGGGACCCATGCAGCATGTGACTGGGGGGCGTGTGGCCCTTTTAGTGTGTGGCTGAGGGATCTATGGCCCACTCGTAAGTTGGACTGCCCTAGTTTAGAGCAACAGTATTTTTAACTGGCAAGTGAACAATAAGCTTTCATGCCAGAGACCCTACTTGGATACACTGTCTTATTTACTGTGGACTATGACATATGTCATTTTGTTTTTGCTTTAATTTTTGCTGTGATAATTATGGTCAACTGGGAAAGCAAAATGTATGGACAGTATCTGAAAGGTAATGGATTCTAGATGGTACTAGTATTAAGCCTTCTGCCTATTGTTACCTATAACAAGTCTTGCAAAACAGATGCACTTCAAAAATGTACTTCTACATGGTATACAAGTTAGTGCAATAGAGATCGGTATTTCATTAATACTAGGAACTAAAACACTCTTAAAATTTAACGATGGTAAAGAAAAAATGATGGTAATGATGATAAAAAGCTCATTTATAACATTGTAGTAGGCATGTAAGGGAATAGTTTCAAAACATTGGCATATTCTATAACTACAAAATTGTTTGGACACTGAAACAGTAATTCATTGAGCTGTTTATCCTAGAGTGTAAGGTCCTGCAGGGAGGGATTGAGCTGTTCCTAGTGTTTCCCTACATACTGATAGTAGGCCACAAAAATGAAAAGTCTCTTTTATTTTGAATGTATTTAAATATCCTGTAAAGGATTTTAGTTGCTATACAGTGCTATTACACTGAGGTGTGGAAGACCAGATTCTGAGCTTTGTTGAGGCGATGCAGCCCAAGGATGGCAAAGGTAATTTTAAGCTATCATTTTTATTTCTCAACATACTTACTTTCCTGAGGGTATGTCATTCTGCTTGGACACCAGGGCACCTCCTGGTCCTTGGAGCAAACCTTAATAAAGCCAGTTTTATCAAGTCTCTTTGCCAACCCTGAATAACAAACACTTCCCTCTGCAGCATCTACCCTAGAACCTGAACCAAGGCGCTGTCACAAAGCTCTTGGTTTGCTTGATGATACACTGCAGATTCCCTACAGAATTCCATCCACCGCTTTTCTGTTATCTTAAGAGAGAATCAGGGCTGCAGGTGCGAGTTTGAAACGCATGTTTGGATTGACAGACGT